TGACATTACAAACAAGACCTGTAAGTTGTATACAATACTGTGCAGTTAACTGGTCAGCTGATATCGAATGGACAACTTACAGGTCTCGTATACAATACTGTACGTGTTATTTTAATGTCATTACAAATTTCTCACTACACAGTAACTTTTCAGACATCCTGTAGGAGCAATAAATTTTGAATAGCTTCTGATGACTTTTGCAGGAACAGAATAATATCAAGTATATTTGTTGTTTGCTACACAGGAGGAGCATTTTGTTTTTATAGAAGTTACATTGTATTATGGCTCAGGTAGGAAAGAATAGATTTTAGTAAATTATAATTAATTATCTGAAATTGCTTATTATATTATATTATAAGTAAAAATTTAAAAAAAATGTTCTTTCTTCTGGAGAAAGAGCTTTAGTGATAGCATTAGTTTAAGCACATTATAGAAAATACAAAAAAATGTTGTTACAAATGCAAAGAAAAGGTAAGTCTGGGAAAAAATAAGGATGTGTTTCAATCCTGCTGTACGTTTGCATCAGTATGTAGAAAAATTATCCAAAGCCTGGAAAAATATGAAACAGTGGATAAATAAGTTTTCTGTTGTATAGAAGCATAAATTACATGTGACTGGTGATGGCCCAAATACACGGGCTCAGCTCAGTACTGTGTCAGTAGTATAAAATGAAAGTGAGAACAGAAATTGAAAATGTATTGGAATCGCAGCCCTCTTCCTGTTACTATATCATGTCCAACTTTGTTTGGTAGATAAATAAAAGTTTGTTTTGATAGGCCATATCATCACACAAAACTTATATTGTTGTATGTGCTTTGAGAGTGTTTTGAAAATAATTCAAATAATAGTAAAAGCTATCCATTGCAATTTCATACAACTCAACCCTATCAACATTAGCTTGTCTTTCTATTATATCCATTTTTACTCTTTTTTTTTAGCTACTAAGTTACAATAAAATAAATAAATAGTGTATATTTATGTGTGTGTTCACATAGAAAAATATGCATAAAATGTAAAAATGAAGACACATGTTTTCTCACAACCAATCAGTCACTCTATACCAGAAAGGCCTCACTCATTTCAGACTAATGAAAACATCTGCTCTTCTACAGCCACTTTTCTCAGTTTATGAAATGTTGAGCCACTATGTACAGTACATAGTGGCTCACTAATGAGTCACGCGATGCAATTTCATCTCATAAAATGCGTCATAAGATCAACTCTGGCTAAAGCATTGAGAAACTTTGTAACAATCAAAACTTCTTCCAAAACTTCAGACTATGAGGCGTTAAATATAATTAAAAATATTTTATTCTTACGAGCGCTTTTGACGTAAATATGCACGTCGTCTTCAGGCAATTCAAAATCGAATAGCGCTCGCAAGAATAAAATATTTTTAATTATATTTAACGCCTCATAGTCTGAAGTTTTGGAAGAAGTTTTGATTGTTACAAAGTTTCTCAATGCTTTAGCCAGAGTTGATCTTATGACGCATTTTATGAGATGAAATTGCATCGTGTGACTCATTAGTGAGCCACTATGTACTGTACATAGTGGCTCAACATTTCATAAACTGAGAAAAGTGGCTGTAGAAGAGCAGATGTTTTCATTAGTCTGAAATGAGTGAGGCCTTTCTGGTATAGAGTGACTGATTGGTTGTGAGAAAACATGTGTCTTCATTTTTACATTTTATGCATATTTTTCTATGTGAACACACACATAAATATACACTATTTATTTATTTTATTGTAACTTAGTAGCTAAAAAAAAAGAGTAAAAATGGATATAATAGAAAGACAAGCTAATGTTGATAGGGTTGAGTTGTATGAAATTGCAATGGATAGCTTTTACTATTATTTGAATTATTTTCAAAACACTCTCAAAGCACATACAACAATATAAGTTTTGTGTGATGATATGGCCTATCAAAACAAACTTTTATTTATCTACCAAACAAAGTTGGACATGATATAGTAACAGGAAGAGGGCTGCGATTCCAATACATTTTCAATTTCTGTTCTCACTTTCATTTTATACTACTGACACAGTACTGAGCTGAGCCCGTGTATTTGGGCCATCACCAGTCACATGTAATTTATGCTTCTATACAACAGAAAACTTATTTATCCACTGTTTCATATTTTTCCAGGCTTTGGATAATTTTTCTACATACTGATGCAAACGTACAGCAGGATTGAAACACATCCTTATTTTTTCCCAGACTTACCTTTTCTTTGCATTTGTAACAACATTTTTTTGTATTTTCTATAATGTGCTTAAACTAATGCTATCACTAAAGCTCTTTCTCCAGAAGAAAGAACATTTTTTTTAAATTTTTACTTATAATATAATATAATAAGCAATTCCAGATAATTACTTAATTATAATTTACTAAAATCTATTCTTTCCTACCTGAGCCATAAAACAATGTAACTTCTATAAAAACAAAATGCTTCTCCTGTGTAGCAAACAACAAATATACTTGATATTATTCTGTTCCTGCAAAAGTCATCAGAAGCTATTCAAAATTTATTGCTACTACAGGATGTCTGAAAAGTTACTGTGTAGTGAGAAATTTGTAATGACATTAAAATAACACATACAGTATTGTATACGAGACCTGTAAGTTGTCCATTCGATATCAGCTGACCAGTTAACTGCACAGTATTGTATACAACTTACAGGTCTTGTTTGTAATGTCATTAAAATTTTGACACTTTTCTGTTAATGGGATGCCATGTAAAGAAATGGCTATTTTATTATGTGTAAAGTACATTCAAGAAACATAGGCAAGTACAAAAATTAACAAATAAAAAACTTACAAATAGGATTCTCCACATTACACGAAATGTATAAAGCTGCAGATTTCATTTAACATTGCCGAAAACATTGTGATTGTTTTTCAAATTTTAATTATTTTGTGTTTTATTAAATCTACTTGACTTTTCTTATTCTCTTACTTTTCTGTTACATCAATAAGATGACAACATTGTGAATTGGATTACAATTACAGTTGTTGTCCCATTAACAGAAAACTACCAAAATTTCTCACTGCACAGTAACTTTACAGACAACCTGTAGTTACATCATGCTGTGGGTAAAATTATACACATGAAAAGTTCCTAAATATAATAATTCCTATTTACATTATTCATATTATGCTTACATTAAATTGTTGGTTTATTTTCACATTAAAATTATCATTAAATTATGGGATTATAAAGAAGTGTATATTTCTCATCAAACAGTTGTGCCAGGTGACCACAACTCATGAGTTACTCATGAACTATCAATACATAACTTTGTATGGTAGACTCATCTCAAAGAATAGAGTGGCTCTTGTCAACTGCTCAAGAAGAGAGACTCATTGTTGAAAAAAATTGTACTGTATTAAGTAAAAATATTGATTACAGTATATATAACCTTTAAATGTGTAAAAAATGAAGAATTAAATAATAATATAAATTAATAGAAAACAATGAATACTGCACTGAGTTATAAACCAGGAAAAAAGTAATTTTCTCTTGGATAATTCAACTATTTGCTTTGCACATGACAATTTTTAATTTTTTTTTCCTCTCAAATCCTATACTAGGTGATCATATTTACAGTACAGTATCCCTTGTACTGTACAACACACACTTCTATACCATGGTTTTGCTGTAACATGGTTCAAAAATTGGGGAAATCCCCTGTTACAGTTTCCAGTTTTGCTCTAACATGATTTGGGAAATCCTCCATACAATATTTTACAATTTTTAAGTGTAAATTCCATTATTCAATATTTTTTTTATTTAAGCAAGTACGAATGTTGTCTCAAATTTGCCCATGGATTTTAGAATATTGAAATTTTCAATTTGTTTTGTGCCTTTCGTCAGGTTTGATTTAATGAATTATTTCTAAAAATAATTCATTAAAGTAAACCTGAAATGAAGGTAATCATTTGTAAAAATTATAAACAAAATACAGCAGTACTTGGTACTCAAACTGTTCCCAACTCCAACAATTTGGTATTCAAACACAAATTCTGGAAGAAAAAAGATCATTCGGTATTTGACTGAACAAATGCAACTCTCTATAACAAATTTTTTATTAATAATATTTTTTTATTTTGTCATCCATAAAAAATTATGAAAAAATAAAAAAAAATGTTGCTGATATTTCTGTCAGCAAAAAAGCTCAGAAGACAATACTTTGTAAAAAGAAAATGCCCTCATTTAACTAGTATTTTAATGCATAAGTACAGGTATACCTCGACTTATGTCATTCCCGATTATACGTTGTTTGTCAAAAAAGTATATGGAAAAATAAAAATCAAGTTTAAGTCATTTTATTCGACTTTACATCTGTCCACAAATATTGAAGTTGTAATATCACTAGAAAAGCGTTTAAAGCACATAAAATCATATTAAAATATATACATTTACAAGTATGCACTGTATTTACAGTACATGCATTTGTCAATTTAGTAAATTAATTTTTTCTGTATTATATTAAAAACTAAAATTTATTTGTTTGTAGGCTTAAAATAGATCCTTATTAACCATATATTATTAAAAATGCATTAATAAATAAAATACAGAACCGGGAATGGTAATTTACGGTTTAGCCTAGTGACAAGTAGATTCGGAGACAAGTAAATTCGACTTACGTCGCTTCTCCTGGAACCAATTACCGACGTAAGGCGAGGTATACCTGTAATTTAATCCTGATTGTTAGTTAATTTTTGATTGGATATAAATTTTTAATAGCAAAAATATCATAGTCATGGACTATGATATTTTTATGGTAGCATACCTACCTATATTAAATCTATACAAGCCATCAGCTGTACAGATAACCCATAATCAGAAATTTTTGGCTACATTGTTGAATAAATAAACATAAAAAAACAAATAATACAAGAACTAAGAATAATAATTTTTATTTACTTCTTTCAATTTGAATTATTCAAAATTTTATTTATATAAAATGAAAAATTTATTTTCTTTGTTTAAAAAATGTTTATTCATAAAAAATTCATATATAATAGTCTTTTTTTATAAATATAATTTTATTTACAATCTAAATTATTTTATCCGATGGCAAATATCAGATCCTTTTTCTTTATTGTCCTCTGAATGAGCAATTCTTGATCCAAACTGTATAGCTCTTTTTGGTAAATGTTTTACACTATTTAATCCTAAATATTCAGCTAATAATCTCAATAATAACTTCTCACCTATTCCTCTGGGTAATAATAAATTTGCCTAAAATTTTATATGAGTCAAATATATATCTTTTAATTATTAAAAATGAAAGATGATAATTCAAAAATTATTACCTTGAACCAAATTGGTAAATTATTCAAAAATGATACAACGTTTTCATCTAAAAATGGAATNGTCAAATATATATCTTTTAATTATTAAAAATGAAAGATGATAATTCAAAAATTATTACCTTGAACCAAATTGGTAAATTATTCAAAAATGATACAACGTTTTCATCTAAAAATGGAATTCTGGATTCTTTTCCATGATCTGCAATGACTCTATTAAGAAATAAATTAGATTTTTTTAAAATGAAACTTTCTAATTCAGATTTTTTTAGATTATAATGAAAGTCTATGCATAAATTCAATTTTTATTTAATATTAAATTAACAAAAATAACCAAAACAAAATTATTTTGAAAATTAAAGTTAAAGACTATTGTTTCTGACCACTATTACTCATTCTTTCACAAACAATCCAATTCCTTGATTTGAATGCAAAAGAACTCTTCACATGCATAAAGATTTTCATTGTAACCTACAATTGAAGTATAATAATTCATTTTTATGTAACTTTTATTTTTTTAACAATAATGTTTAATACAGGATGTTAAAGAAAGACACTTAACACCCCTGCTACATAATATAGAATGTATCCAAAATTAATTTGTTCATATCAGGAACACATTAGACCAAGGAGAAAACAGATTGGTGTGTGTTATGCACACGGCCATCATCTTGAATGCAACTTTGAAATTTTAAATGGGAAGGGGGTCATGTGACACATCATTTAGGGTCAGAATTTCACAAGAAATTGATTGCTGAAAGATTTATTCAAATTATCTCTAATAGTTACAGAGTTATTAATGTGTTTCCTTTGTTGTTACAGATTGAAGAACAGACAACACAATGCTCCTAACACAGGAAGAATGCATCAAAATTGTACTGATGGCAGGGGAGAGAAGTTTCAGGGTTATTGCACAGGCATGAATGTTTTTTTATCATGGCCCAATCCAGTCTCTCTGAATTTCTGGAGAAGGTTTACAACTGCTACCTTTGACACAGGCACTTGGTGTGGATGACATTGATTAAACTCCTGTGCAATCACCCTGGAGAAAACTTCTTTCTCCTGCCATCAGGACAATTTTGATGCATTCTTCTTGTGTTAAGGGGATTGTGTTGTCTGTTCTTCAACCTGTAGCAATGAAAGAAACATTAATAACTCTGTAACTGTTTGAGACGGTTTGAATAAATCTTTCAGCAATCAATTTCTTGTGAAATTCTGACCCTAAATGATGTGTCACATGATCCCCTACCCATTTAAAATTTCAGAGTTGCATTCAACATGGTGGCTGTGCATGTAACACACATCAATCTCTTTTCTCCTTAGTCTAATGTATTAGCACCTTGTTTGACTTCACAATTCACAAAAAAAACTCTATCACCTTAATTTGTTTTGATGTTGCTTTTCTGCCTATCAAATACAATGACTGTTTGATATTAGCAAAGTCATGTTCAGCCTGTTCATTTATGCTGAAATTCATCAGAAAGGTCTTTATCATTTGGAAAGACTCAATGACTAAATTTTAGCACTACACTTGGATCAATATCAGAATGTTCACTAGATGGCTCCTCCTCAATTGTATCAGCCTGATAACTTCATACAAATCTTCAATTGTACTGTACAGTACATATTCCAGATGTAACAAGTTCATCATCAAACTCTATATTAAATATTACGAAAACTTTGAAAAAAAAAAATGAAGTTTACAAAAGATGGGGCTAAAACAAAACCCATTATTCTGAGTCACAGATCTTCTAAAAGGAGGTAAAATTACATTAATTTGGCAGGACTTGGAAAAATATCCATTATTCTGTGATTCTGAGATCTGTTGTTCTGAAATCTGTTGAAACAAAATTCTACTGTAATATATTTTAAAATATTATTTTTCTATTCAGTTGATCTTTTTACTTTGAAGACCAAACTTACAAATGATCCCTTTTTAAAAGTTAAAGTAGTTTTCTGCAAGTTTCAAATGTTCAGTAGTAGTCCATAATCTTTGGCAATATCACATTTTCCCTCTACTTTTCAAGCTGACATCAAAAATAATTAAACAACCTTGCTATAGAGACACAAAATCAGTAAAATTGAACCAAATGACACTTTTATTGTGCCTCAGAAGTTTAAACATGTGCATATCTAGGGATGTCTGAAGTACATTCATTCATCAGTACATGCTATTTTCTTTTTTTGAGTATATTAGCCTTGATTATTAAAATTTATATTAAAAAATTGAGTTGAACTTTGTATTTTTAACATCTGTTTAAATACAAATTTCAAAGAAAATAACAAGTTTGATTTCACCAATAATTCAAATTGAACATATTTTCCTTATACAGTTAAATCTGATTAAGTAAATCTATTATTACATGTAATGAATTTTCAGTAGTTAAAGAAATATAAAGAATAACAATCATATTTTTCTGAAAGTCCAAAAACAAAAATTCTTCTTGACATTTTACATATAACTGTAAATATTTCTGAAATTCAACATGCATTGTTGAAAAATGAAACATAAAAAAATTTAATTACAATANTTTATTAAAAAAAAAAAAAAAAAAAAAAAACAAGCAGCGTAGGGCCCGGTCAGTACTTGGGACGGAGACGACCTGGGAATACCGGGTGCTGCTATCATTTTTTTGCCCCTCTCTAGAATTTATTTTATTTTCAAATTTCATATTCAAAAGCTTTTGTATCATTTCTTTGTGGAAACTGATTGAACTGTCGTCGCCTTCTGGAAACAAGAAATAGAAATGTTTATAAATCAACAAGACTTATTTCTTGTGACATCGTCACAATAAATAAGTCTTGTTGATTTATAAACCTCGTCACAATACTGGGTTGAAATTTTTAATCATATTTTTAAATCATTTAATTTAAAATATATTCTTTTCATCCCAAATTAGCAGTGACTTGCCCCTGTACATTATACTTTTCCTTTAACAATAGAGTTGCGACTGTTATCTATTAACTACTTTTAGGGAAAGTTTTGAATTGAAATAACATGACTTCCGATTTGCATCAGAAGTTTGTATATAGTTAATTGGGGCCTCCTGTCACTAAGATTTCCGTATCTAGTCTCGGATTTCATCTATCTAATGCCGTTCTCGAGATTAAAGAAAAATGGACTGACAACAGTGGGAATTTATTGGTCTAAAATTTTTTCAAATTGCAACCAAATTATGTAACTTTTAAAATATTTTAAATCTTAGCTAGTTGTACATATAACATTACTGGATCATACCATTCTACAAATATCATATGTGCAAGATATAGAGATAGCTCGTTCAATGCCAATGCCTTCCTTTTTTCCTTAACAAGTTTTGCCACAAATTTTTGTTTAATCTTTGGTATTAAAAAACCTATACACCCTGGGAGTGATTTGTAATCTAACGTAATACACTTCAGTGCCAAACCATGCTGGCAGCACTCCAAAAGAAAATTCAATTGTATATGTTTCGTGTGCCAATGTTCTTTTGCTTTCAGAAGCACGAATGAAGAGATCTAATAATATAATATTTTAAAATCCTCACAAGTATTTCAAATTTACAGAATTCCATTCCTTTCAAGAACAGAAAGACCAGACTTTTGTTATAACGTGTGCTTTTAATGCACAAATTTGTTTATATACAGTAGATAAATAAGGGATGATTTTATTAATCACCGAAAGAAAAACAATCATATTAGTTTATATATGATTTTTTTATGAGGTGCTGGATGTTTTGCTTGGGCAGCATTTTTTCAAAAATGCTGTGAGCCACATAGGTATATATGATAGATATAAAGTATGTATGTTGAGGATCCTCATACATATATCATACATTGAGAAGCTTAAAATATTAATATACATTGAGAAACTTAAAATAATGTCTTAAATTCTGTCCATGACTATTTCTCCATTAAGGTATATTATTTATTTTAACTTTGCCAAATTCCATACTGCATTATAGGTAAAACAACTATGTTTTGTAATGCTTGTTTGAAATATTCTAATAACTTTTTAATTCTTTGATATGTAATTAACTGAAAAGAATATAGTATATAAGAAATTAATGTTATAGACATGTGTAATTAAATAATCTTAATATATTTTATAATTTCTAATATTATAGTAGGTCTATGGAAATAATCAACTTAGATATTAATCAATGAGCATCAGCCATTGATCACCTAGGTGTGGCAAGTGACTTCTGGTTTCTTCCTCATTTGTTAAACATGTCACCACAATTAAAAACAGTGGTATGGAAGCTTCATGTTGTGATATTGGAATATGAGAAAGTTTGCTATAGTAGTTGTTAAATGCATGATTCTTTACATTTAAGGCATGCTGCTATAAAAAATTAACATAATTAACAGAAAAGTTGTTCTGCCGTCTAATGAGAATAAAATAAAATAAAATTCACATATTGCCTGATATATTACGAAAGTGCTGACATCATTAGGAAATGTGCTGATTGGTTTAAATTAAGCAACATCATGTGTGACGTTGCTCTTAGGTCGATTCTTTCCATAGAAAGACTGTACAAAAAGAAGCATTATTTTATTTTACTTAGTTATAAACATTACCATTCAATTGTAATGCTTTCCAGTGATGATCATTACTTTTAGTTTTATTAAAAATTTGTTGATATATTAGAAATTAAAATTTTATATCTTATACTTTTATATTATTTTATACTTTATATCTGAATATAATGTAATAAAACTTATTTTATATTGAATAAACTTTTAATTTTTTAAAAATTCATTTTACTTGAATTTATTCCTATGTCTGGAATATCCAGCTAACTGTTCATCAGCTCCCATTCCAACTAAAATTATCTAAAAATAATTAAATATCGATAAATCAGTCAAGTTAAAAAAGAACAGTAAAAATGATATAAATTTTAATTTGTGTTTTTAATAAATATAGAAATATAATATTAAATTTAAGAACTATTTAATCTGACTTTCACACACAAATAATATAGGTAAAAATTATTATTTTTTAGTTGAAATGTCCAAACACGATCAAATATATTATATTAATCAGTCATCAAAACATATATGTTTATCAAAGTTTATCATAAAACTTCTGTTCCTATTTTAAGTCATTAAAGAAAATTAATTTCGAGTGGATCAATTTACATAAGAAGAATTGTGATAAATATTAAATATTTAATTATTGGAAATTTAAGTTTTGAATTATTATAAATATTATAAACAAAAACAAGGATATTTTTTTTTACAGTTTTCATCTTAATAAATAATTAATTAGTAATAATAAAATTAAAAGTATAAATATAATAAAGTAATATCATCTATATATATAATCGAGACGGGTTGATAATAATAATGATAATAATAATAAGCGCACAGCCCAAATGGTTAGGAGTTGAAAGTTGAAATTTGGTACACAGATAGGGTACATCACGAAAACGCACACTAAGAAGGGATTTTTCGAAATTCCTCCCGGGGGGGAGAAAGACAGGATTAAGGCTTAACACTTCCATCAACAATGGAAGTGTTAAGTAACAATGGCGGTGTTAGGTAACAATGGAAGTGCTAAGTAACAATGGAAGTGTTAAGTAACAATGGAAGTTTTAAGTAACAATAAAAGTTTTAAGTAACAATGGAAGTGTCAACAATGGAAATGTTACGTAACAATGGAATTGTTAAGAGAAAGCGATGTGCGATACGCAGATGCAGTTTTTTTCGTTTTTTGCGGGAAATCGAACATATTTTTAGACCCATCTAAAAATTCTCCAAGGGGACCCAATTCTTGCATTCTGTGAAAACAGGTAAGGTTGACTGTAACGTAATAATCTTTATCTTAGTTATCGTTACTTTTGCCCGAGCAATGCCGGGCTCACCTGCTAGTTTAAATATATAGTAATTAAATAATTTCTAACTTAAGATATTAAATATTTCATATAATAATTTCAAGAAATTTGTTTCATGCAATATTTTTTGTTATCAATACAGTTTTTTGAAATAATATGTATAATAAATATTGTTTATATTTAACTGAAGATTATAATAAAATATTTGATAAAATAATTTTGTATATACAGTAGAGCATTAATTATCCGACTCAATTGGGGACTTGGGTTGGTCGGATAACTGAAAAAATCGGATAACCAAAAATAATGAAAAAAATACATTATTAGTATATCGCTATTAATTAGTTAAATGTAATTAGTATATTAGTATATCGTTAACCTACTTCATGTTGAATTTTCGATTGAGAATCGTTGTTACACCTAACAAATTTTTTTTTAAAATAATAATCGTCACTATTGTATCGTTAAAAATTATTTTATTGCTCACAAAACAAACAACCACTCATAATTAGAAAATTAAATCTCATTTAAATACTGGCCTCCCTTTCATGGTCAAGCCAGTATTGCCAGCTAAAACACGCAAAAATTGAACAAAAATTGTATTAAAGTAGCCAAGACATAGCCAAATATTGTAGCGCCACATCACTATTGGACATTTGAAATTTGCCGACTAGAACGGTCGGTTAACCGATGTGACAGTTAATCGGGGTCGGATAATCGATGCTCTACTGTATTCTAAAATTCAATAATGTTTATACTATAGTACTTAGCAAAAATATTATCGGTTACACAATATAAGAGAGAAAGTTAAATATAGACATTTTCATGAAGGATTTCATAAAGATGTTTATTATTCATCTAATAAATTATTATATATTATTATTCATTATCATTCTGATGATATTCATTAGGACAGAAAATTTTTACAGACTATCTCCAAAAATCTCAATATATCAAAGGATTAAACCTAATTGTTTTAGGACAATAATGTAGAAAGATTTTTTATCTCTAGAAACAAATGTTATTAAAACAGAGCAGACATGATAAAGAAAAAACTTTAGGTTAAAATATTTTGTTAAATTCTTCCATTATTTTATTTCATTATCATTCACATAATGAGACTGATAGTGCAAAAAGGAGTGTAAAAATATGTATTTATCTGAAGATAATGATAAGCATAACCAAAACTCTGAATACAATAAATTTTATAAGTATATATTCACTTAGATGTGTTGGAACATGTTAATTCTGATAAAACTAAATAACTGAAAAGTATATCCATTACAAGTAGATTATATTATATTATTTAAAAAACAAAAAAGATATGTTTATTATATTCAGAAAACACCATAAATAAAATATGTAACAAAATAATCACATTTTTCATCATTCTGGTTTAGTTTTCCCACCTCTTAATTTTTGGGTTTTTCTGCCCCCATGGATATTAAGAGGAAACTAGTTTATTAATTTTAGGCAATTGCCATATGATTTAATTTAATTTAAGCAATTATAATAAGTTATTTAAAATTTCTAAAATTTGAAACTTACTCTTGCAGGACTTGTATAAACGATACTAGAAGTTTCACTTAATTTTAAAAATCCTCTTCCTCTAGCTGCAAACCAACAAGCACAACCTATACTATCATCAATAACAGTCGATAAAGGATAGATCAAGTGTCGAATATATCTTTCTCTGAAATTTAAATTACAATAATGATAACAATAATATTTAAATAGATGTATTAAGCTATTATCAATTATTTAATCTGTAATAAAAAAATAATAATTACTAATGGAAATTAAATTCAATGCTTAATGGAATTAATTTATTAAGTAACGTCTCTTCAATCCGAAAAAAAAACTTTCGGTAGACTACCTCACAGCCAATTCAGGTTATAAAATTCCTTTTATTGCTTTGTTACAGATGCATTTTGAGCCAGGTTAAATTTCTAGCTCCTCTTCAGTGCTTAAGAGTCTCCATAGGATACAATGGCTTAATTTCACACTTATATGGTACTTTTAGTCCCATTTACAATGTTTTCATCAACACAAAGAATTATATTAAGGGCGTTTATCGTGTTATATCGAAAGGATGTACAGCTTGCTACAAGGTTTCTTACTAATTAAAAGCTTATTATTTTGAAAATGCAAGTTGTACATCCTTTTGATATAACACGATAAATGCCCTTAATATAATTCTGTGTTGAAAAAAACATTGTAAATGGGACTAAAAGTACTGTGTAAGTGTAATAGTACCATATAAGTGTGAAATTAAGCCATTGTAACCTATGGAGACTCTTAAGAACTGAAGAGGAGCTAGAAAGTTAACCTGGCTCAAAATGCATCTGTAACAAAGCAATAAAGGAGTTTTATAACCTGAATTGGCTGTGAGGTAGTCTACTGGAAGTTTTATTTCGGATTGAAGAGACATTACTTAATAAACATATAAACAGCTACCATAAGAAAATTCAGAAAAGGAATTAATTTAAAAACATCATTTTTACTTAAGTTAGCAAGGATCAGTTTTTCTGCACTACTATATCTGTTAAACTCATTATAAAAATATCACAATAAGTAAAAATATAAAAATATCCTATTTTTTTTAATACTGAAATACTGTAGTTTTTTGTATCTTCAATTTTCAATGTTAATTTTGGATTTCTCACAAGCAGTTATAATCTTATTTCAGACAGCATACAGAGTATCTCCTACTAAAAAGCAATTGAGGCTAATTGCTGAGAAAGAACTGTCAGATTCACGTAAACAATGCTTGTTTTCCTACATTATTGAGCATTGACTATTCATTGGTGAACAAGCAAAATTCCTTTACCATCCCAAAAAAAGACGAAGCAAAATTATCTCAGTTCCTATTGCAATTAGATCAGTTCCAATTATAAAGTTGTAGACCAAGTTCAAATTAGTATATTCTACATTTTGCTCAATTAAAAAAGAATAAAATGGGTGTGCTATGTACTCCCAAAAAACTGAAGAGTTGTATAAGTTGAACTTCCCTGTAGTGCTGAACTGCTTTGTAAATGTTTGTTTCTCAAGCTTTAAGTATCATAGTTTGTGATAAATATAGCTGTCGGTGATGAATACATTTTGGTGTCATTAAAGATCTTACAGACAAAAGAAAACTATAATTAGAAACTTGGCATTTCATTGAACACAAAGGAAGTAAACCAAACAAAAAAAAAATTTTTCAGATCAAAAACATACATCTAAACAAAACACCATTCAACAAAAAGTTTTGTCAGTACATTGCAAATTGCATTGAACATAATGCTTCATTATAATAAATTACACAATTTTTTTTTGTCATTTCTTATCATTCATGTTATTAAATTTCTGTGAATTAAATTCTTTTTATTATTGAACTAGAACTGAAATTAATATTTTTACTTTATTTAAGATATTTATGTTTAATTTTTCCCTACCAAGTGTGACCAGTAATGTGAAAAAATTGGTTATCCAAAATTGTACTATTTCCGATGATCAATGCTTTACAGTATTCATTTATAAACATTTTTATGTATATTTGTATTTTTATATATTTAAGACATATAAGTTTTTATTAAACCGTTAAAACTTACATAAATGATATAAACTACATTAAGTCTTTAAAACCAATGAAACTCAGGACTATCTTTATAAAAAAAACAAACAATCTGCTTATTAAGATAACCAAAAAATGTTTTCAGTTCTTCTTGAGTCGTCTTCTGTTCATTCTTACAAGAAATGCTTGTAAGAAATGGAAAGAATTAATGATCCCAAAAAGCATTTTATTGCATTGAAAAGTTGACTCTAAATTATTTTGCAGTATTTTTCTGTTTCAAATCAGTCACTAAATAACATTTTTACATATTATACTACACTACCTTTGTGTTTTTTTTTTTTACTACTATGCATATGTAGCTAGAACTATTTCTAAGATTATCAGCACAAAAGCTTTCTCACTAATTTCTAGCCGTATTAACAGGAGTACAAACGTTTTCGGCCTTCTTAATAGGCCTTCCTTGGGTACACTGTGGAACATCAGTTCTTCTAACCGACGCTCCACAGTGTACCCGAGGAAGGCCTATTAAGAAGGCCGAAAACGTTTGTACTCCTGTTAATACGGCTAGAAATTAGTGAGAAAGCTTTTGTGCTGATAATCTTAGAAATAGTTCTAGCTACATATGCATAGTAGTAAAAAAAAAAAACACAAAGGTAGTGTAGTATAATATGTAAAAATGTTATTTAGTGACTGATTTGAATCAGAAAAATACTGCAAAATAATTTAGAGTCAACTTTTCAATGCAATAAAATGCTTTTTGGGATCATTAATTCTTTCCATTTCTTACAAGCATTTCTTGTAAGAATGAACAGAAGACGACTCAANTTTCTAATAAATTTTCCATTCTTTTGATACTTTCTAGATTTTCTAAACAATTATTTAAAATTCTAAATATTTATTACATAATATTACTTATAAAATTAGTGACACTGACCTTTCATTTTTCAATTCATCTTTTGTTACATTAATCTAAAAAATAAATTATTTATAAAATTTAAATTTAAAAAATTAAATTAAATTTTAATTTTTAAATTACCTCAACAAAATTCCATTTTCTTTGCGGATATAACACTTTCAATTCATTCCAAGCAGTTATTCCACTAATTCGATCAGGTGTATTAAAACTGTATAAATTAGTGTTTACACTACGCTGAGAATCATTTTTATGATTCTTTTTGGATCTATTATTAGCTTTTCTTTCATGTTCAAAGGCAACATTCACTAAATCAATTGGTACATTTTCTGGAATGTATCTTTAAAAAAAAAAAAAAAAAAATTCAACAATTTTATTTGTTAATAACATTACATATTATTCAAACAAGGAAACCGCTAGATATGGCGTCCTCTGTTTTGAATGAGTTTGATATATATTGTAATACTACCATCTCAGTAATTCACATTAAAGTCGCTTAATGCAATCTCAAGAGCACAAGATAAAATTTTCTCTGTTCTTTACTTGATGTGTTATTAGAGATAGTATGTTAATAACAGTACAGTCGACCCCCCATAACACTGTTGATTATTCCGTTTTATATGAATTCCATGTTGTATGAGTCACTTAGATTTTACAAATACGTATGCCGGGCTGTGAATGGCTCACATATCTGTAAAATCTTAATGACTTGTACAACATGGAATTCATATAAAACGGAATAATCAACAGTGTTATAGGGGGTCGACTGTATAGCTGAGTGGATAGTGAAAAATTTTAAAAAGTACATTGCACTAATAATCTGTTTCAACATGCATTATATAAAAACATTTTAAGTAGATTTAAACTTGTAACATGCAATATAGTAGTTGAACACCTTATCTATTCAACTATGCTGCTGTTAACATTTTATCCATATAACACGGTATGTATAAAAAACACAGCAAATTCTGAAGTTAGTTTCCTTTTTACCATGAATTACTGGAAGAGTAGTATATGATATATATCAAACTCTGTCAAATTAGAGGGGGCCATCTCTGGTGAGCTCATAAGTATAAGACAAATTTCTGAAATTAAGTCCCACTGTACAAAAATTCCAGATTACTCATTCATTATACTTAATATATTTTCATTATATATAATAATTTTTACTTAATTTAGTTTCTAACATCTAAATTTTAAATAAACAACGATAATTAAATGCTTCGTACAAATACGAAACATCTTTGATTTCATTTTATTATAAATTACGTCTTATATACAGTAGAATGGTAAAATACAAATTTTATTTACAACCATTCATAAAATATTCTTGTTATTTTAATTATAACAATTTAACTATTTATATTTAGCTGTTTCTGAATATAACTTCAATGATTAATACATAAAAATCATCAAAAGAATTTACATCCATAAAATGAAAAATTTTCAGTTTAAAATATGAAATACTCTTACCTATTAGCAATAACAGCAAGTACTGTTGAATCTAAACCACCAGAAAACAATACTGCCACAGATGCATGTTCACAATTTTGATTTCTTGTTGAGTTTTTTAAGCAATCACTGCATATGAAAGGATGATTTTTTACTCTTTGTTCTACTGCTTTACTCAAAACTTCTAGAAAATCATTTATTATATTTTTCCAATGTAGATTATTACACAAAACACATAAAATATCTTTAGTATTATTTTTTTCATTTATAAGATCTCTCCTTTTATTGTCATCATTGTGAATTTCAGAGAAACATTTCAAGTTTTCTTCTGAAGGTGAGGTTTTATTTAATATTTCATTAATTGGTGACTGAATGCTTTCTGATTCCACACTTATATTTAATATAGATTCTAATTGATTACTGCTTACTGATTTAATAAGTCCAGATGGCATTTTGTTCCATAGATGAAGAGAAATCTTAAATTCATTTTCCATGAAATTAATGGAATATATTCCTGTTGCTGGAATCTCTTCCCACTGAATAAACAAAGATTTCAGCTTTAGAGAATTCAGTTTGCCTTAAATATTTTCAGTAATGATTTATTTTATTTTATTTTATCGAATCATTCATATTTGATATTTTGACATTAAAAACTTTAATTCGTGTAAAGAATATATAGATATGTGTAAAAAAAGTATTTTTGTATTTACATGATTAATGCAATTATTTAAAACAGCCACTGAACTTATGGAAAAAGGTAATTTCATTTCCGTTTTCCAACCCCAAAGTAAACTTCTACGTCCAAAAATGTCACGTCCAAACCATAAAGTTTTCTCATTTTCCTTTAAAGATTAAAAAATAAATAATCTTAACAACAAAAATTTATATTAAAAATTAAATTTAGATGTATATGTATTACCTATATAATCAATAAATTCATTAAGAAAAATAATGCTACTTGGTCATTTTAAAGAAGTTATTCAAATGTTTTGATGCTTAAACAGTTTAAATATTAAATATTCATTAAAAACCATTTTTACTGAAAAATTATTAAAAATTTATAAGTTAATGTACTCATAGATAGATTTTATACATTCAAAAACCAAAGAAAATATATGAATTCACAAATATAATTTCTAGGGTAGACTTTTAGAAAAAACAAGCAATTAGTGATTGTGACATTATCACAATATTGGGCTGCAATTTTTTAAAATAAATAAAGTTCGTATACACATAATTAAGGCCTCTAGCCCTAAGCTTCTACATCAGGTCTCAATTTTCATCTATCTAGCTCCATTCTCGAGATTAAGGAAGGATGGATGAACAGACGTACAACAATGGGAATCTAGAGCTCTACAATTTGAAAATTGCAGCCCAATAAATAATATAAAGAAAAATACATGAACTTAATAAATAACACACCAACAACTACCATAAATTATTGGGCTAAATTTGGAGTAAATAATACTAAATTACAAATGAATTTGTAATTTAGTATTATTTATTCTAAATTTAGCCTAATGGTTTATGGCAGTTGTTGGTGTGTTATTGCTTTACATTGGGTTTGTAGGGATATTTATTTGAACTTAATAAAAAAATGAACAAGCGACATCAATGAGTATTTATTCTATATAAGCATAAAGTTGCAATATCTAATTAGTATAATACACAACTGAATGATTTTAGTGATCTTGAGAACAGAACTATAATCATCAGTATCAACCCTAATTGCACCATAAATTGCTGCATAGAGCAAAAAAAGTTACGCTTACTTTCCTTCAAGATATTAACTTTTCTTATTACTCATTTGCTAATAATTTACCTAAGTATTAAGCAAGCAAATATCCAGGTTTTACTATATATATNGAGAGAAAAGGACAAAGGATTTACATAATATTCCAATAATTTTTTAATCACACTAATATAATCTTTTCAGATTTCCGAAAAATTTCGTAAAGGCCATATAATTATGTTTTATGAACCAAACAATACAACTATTTATTATTTTGTGACACTAATTGCTGCAAAAACTTGGTTTTTCATTTATAATGTTGTATTGAAATTTTATTTATAGTTTGTTTAATTGCTTTATTTTATGAATATAAGTAAACGTAATGAATTAATATTTTAGTAAAAACTCTGTCGTATAATTCAGTCGTAGAATGCCAAATAGTAATTAATAACATGCTTTGATTTTATAGACAAACTAGCAGGAAAGCCCGAAGTCTTCCAAGCTAAAAATCAGAATAAATATTAAGGCTATTTTGTATTTCTAATCCTTCTATTATATTATAGTATTTGATTTATATAACTACAAACATTATCTTATGTAAGGGTTTACCACACCAAATGACCAATCTAACACATTTTAAAAATTCTTTAAATTGTGTACAGTAGAGGAAGAAAATTTTAAAAATGTGTTAGATTGGTCATTGGATGTGATAAACCCTTACGTAAGATAACCTTTGTAGTTATATAAATTAAATACTATGATATAACAAATGAGATCTGGGATTTAAGAGAAATATTTGTTAAAATATTCTAAAATTTAAACTTGACGGAAAAATTATCAGTCTTTGACTTCCTCTGACTAAGGGAGAAGGACGCTTAGTTCCTCCCAAAATGATAGTTTGTGTGCAGATGTCCCACTCGACTAATCGCAAAACTGCCTAACTTCCTTCTCTTGATGGTGTGACATCCCAGTAATCCTACTGGATATTGATATAGTATAAAAGGTAAAAGTTCACCTTTTTGCTTGCTCTAGTCTTGTTTTTGATCGATACTTTCAGTACATTAAGGCTTTAGCCATCGCTTATGTTTTGACATCCTTGCTGAGCACCCAACATTGTAATAACAACTTTCCAGTGCTCCAAGTATGTGTTCTCAAGAATTCTCAACTATCCACCTCAGGCATACGTGAATGTCATGTAATATGATTTATCATTTTATGTAAACTCTCTCTCATTGGCATAAATTTTAATAGACATTTAAAAGTAGATATCCTCATATTTGATTGTTAATTTTAATCGCTTCATTTTATTGTAATCTCCATGTATTTGTATGTAAGATAGTTATAAACTCATTTAACAAATAAATATACTTCTAATGTATCGAATCTGTCAGTTGATTCCATCAGCTGTCAATTAACTGCATCGTTGGCCCATGTTACAATGAAACGTTAATATAAACCCTCCTAAAAATTCTGGTCATCTGAGCTTATTCTTAAACCACTTGAAAGAATAAGATAGTTAATTGAGAGTTAGAATGCAGCCAATTTTATTCCTAAATGGTGTACGGACCCTGACAAAGAGAGATCTTACCAATCTTCCTTTAAATCCTTATATTTGCCATCCTGAAGGTGACATAGGGTTAAACTGGAATATACCCTCCATTTCACACAATTAAAATGAAAATCATACAAAGAGTTTGGTTATTTCAGCCAACCATAGTCATGTTTATCACAATATTCAAATGTTACAAAATGGCACAATTTCATTGGTCCAACACCAATAGTAGACACCAACTGAAAACACGATATCTTAAAAAATTTACGATATTGTATTTTTTTCTAATGTTAGCACTAACAAAGTTTCATTCACAGCCAAATATCAAATGGTAATCTGCCAATAAATGAAACTTCACAAAAAATGGACCAAATATTTAAACTCAGCACCCTTGAAAACCACTTAAATCATATTTTGTACAGGCTGGTAATCTCACATTATGTTATTTTCCTATTTGAATGCAACCATACTAGTGAGTCCAATAGAAAGAAGGGAAATTTGTTGAAAGTACTTGCGATAAAAAAGTACTTACAACGCCAAACTCAGTGAACTTTCTGTTCTTCTATAATTGAGATTGTTGAAAGTATAAAAGATACAGGTCCAGGTTCTCACGATATGATTATAAACGTAATTCCTGTCATTTTAATAATTTTGGCACTTGATTTCTTCTTAAATAAAGCCCACAGACACAAATGCTTAAACATGTCCACTTATTTTTTATGTAGATAAATATATACAAGTTTTTTTAAATCTGTGATCCAAAGTCATGGTCTCTTCTGATCAATAAATATTAAATCACTTCAAATTTTAAATATATCAATAAAAAATTAAATTTCACATATTGTTATATTAATATGTTTTGAATTTAATTTTATTAATATATTTTACTTAATATTTTAGAGGTACAGCTTAAAAACTTTTCCTACAGCATTGGATGTGATAGGATTAAGTCTAATAAGTATTATTTGAACTTTTAATGTATTGAATTATAAGCTAACGCTAACATTTGATTTTTCTCTCAAAAGTTTAAAGCACAAGCTTTTATTCTCTGTGCTAAAGTTTGTACTGAAATTATTATTTGTAAAACAAAATTAATATTTTCTCTTCAAACATTTTGCCAAAAATTTGGCTTGAAACATATATTACTATAAAAATAGATTGTAAAAACAATGTTTAAATATCTTGAAGACTGATATTATTTTTTCAAAAAATACTTAACAAACATAGCCTGAAAAGTACCGTATTTTAAAATATACACCCTGAAAAATAAACTCGGTTACTTATGTAAAAAACAGATATATAAATTCATATAAATAATTTCACTTCTTTTAATACCTGCCAATAAATAAATGCCCATGGTCCGTGTAATTTTCCAAATGTATCAATAAATTCGGTTTTTGTTTTTGCACGACTTAATTTCTTTAACATAAAAACAGTATCACTGTCATCAGGAGAAATCTGGAAATAAGTGTTATAAAATTACAATAATTTATGCAAAAATTATTATTATATGTCTAATATAGTATAATTATATTCTTATAAATAATAATCATAAATGAAATAAAAAAGTATTTAATCTTTCAAGATTTCAGCATTTTTTTCTATATTATTGATTAAAAATTTTTATTTTTTTTAATAATACATCCACTACACCATAATAAATCAAATATTAATGACAATATCAAATATTAGCAATAAGGTATAAGTATTTATTTCTATAAAATAAAAACACAAGAATGTTAATAGCTAAATAAATTAATAAACAAAGTATAAAAAAATAAATTAAGAAATTCACTCATTAACAAACTTATATACTTTTTAAAATTTCTTTTAAGTTATTGGTACTAAATCAAATGTTTATAAAGTATTTACAGTAGACCCCCCTATAACACGGTAGATACATTCCGTTCTTTATGAAATCGATGTTCTAAGAGTCCTTAAATACATGAGCCAATCACAACCCGGCACATATGCAGTTTACGGACTACAGCTGTTTGAAAGGTTTCCTTCCATAAATTAATTGATTCTAGACTAATTCGACTTAACATTTCCAAAATACGTATAATTTTTTGGGCATAATCCATATAAACTATGCTATAAACAAAAAATTGTAGGATTACTTACCGAGCGAACACCGTTTGACGACACCGCTGCTTAAGCTTGTTTTCGTCGTGGAGCGGTGCATCGAATGGCGCTCACATGCTTCCTGATAAATTATTTTTCTGCAAAAACTTTGCTGAACTTTGGAGACATCATTAATATAAATATAATTTTTATGGCGTTAAATAATAAATGGTTTTTAGTAGGTCCGCTGCTCGTTTAAACTCAACGGTTTGTGCAATATCCGCTATTAGTCTAGATTCAACCAATCCTGTCGCAACACGAGTCGGCGATGACGTTTTACTGAATTATATGAGTCTCTTTTAGCATGTTTATACAAATACGGTCGCAATTTTTTTGCCGTCATATAGGAATCCGAATACTATATGAACCCATTTTATAGAGGGGTCTACTGTATTTATAATTATGGTGTAGAATATTACTAAGATTTATTCAACGAAAGATTCCAGTGTAGAAAAAGTTGATTATGACAAAAAATGATACCAATCTGATTCATTTTTTTTCTAAAATGCAGAACTTGATAAGATATTGTCTTTCCAAATTGTTTATGTGTAATCACTAAAGCAAACAGTTTATCATAGTAGCACATGATTCTATTTGTAATAAATACATGAATAGAAAGAACATTATATCAGTGTTGTTATTTAGAATTATATTCAAATATTTAACATAAAAAATATCCTTCTATTATATCATAAAACTTTGTTATATATATTTCAATTTATACTACTGCAATCAGTTTTAGAATATTTTATTTTGTTAGATACAAATGATAAGACTCGAATGCCGTAGAAACATTTCACTTACAAATCAATATTTTATTGGATGACAGTTTTATTGAGTTTCTTTTTTCTACATTTATTCAAAATGGAATTCAGAAATAAATAAGGCATTTTTAATCTTCTGAAACCGTGTTTTCTAATTTCTTTGATTCACTTAACACAAGATGTGTTACAATTTCAACACTTGGCGATATTCCATCTTTATTTAGTTGATACGGTTGGAGCGTTCCTACAAATTTATAAAATTTGTAGGAACACTCCAACCAAAACCAAAAACAGATGTATAATATTATGCCAGTCCTATGAATATATATGCTTTCAGTGTTGAAAAAGTGCTTATGGTATGTCACGCGAAAAGAATTATTAATTTAATTAAAATAATTTTCTATGTTAAGCTATTATAAGAAAATGAATTTATGTATAAAAATTTTTTGATATTTAGTTGACTGAGGAGGGGCAGTGCCCGAAACGTATTATTGTACTTGTAACCGTATCAACTAAATAGACAACTAAAACGTAAAGACAGAATATCGCCAAGTGTTGAAATTGTAACACATCTTGTATTAAGTGAATCAAATAAATAATCATCATCAAATTTAGTAAAATATTTTGATTTTATTGCTTTTAAACGAGTAAAAATAGTCAGGAAAGCTTAAGCAATCGAAATTATTAAGAAGCAATATCTTTAATTGACTTAGCGGCAGGATAAAAAAAATGATCTTAATCTTGATAAAGTACAGTTACTCCTTCTTAGACTACTGTCTGTGTGTTATGATCAATGGAAATAAATATCTCTTCCACTTAATCTTGATCCGACATCTGCTGACATCGAAATTCCGATAAACTATCACGCATTGACATAACTATAGATGTGTTAGGAGGACATCAGGAATGGGCTGGAAAGCGGCTCTAATCTTTAACTATTTTATAATTTTATATAAATTTCGACAATAGCAATGAGTTATTGCGGGCAGGAAGTGGAATGTTTAACTCATTTGTGATTTAGAGGAGATGGAAGCGAGCGCTGAAGTTCTGTGATACCAAATTGATGCAATTTTATGTCTCCATTGGTGGACTTTTCTTCACGGCTTTTCGGTAATTGAAGGCTGTAAAGTTTAAACTTTATAAGGTTTTATCTGTTTTTTTGATAAAAATAGTTTCAATTTTCAAGGATTTTCTCGGTTGGAAGAATGAGTCGTCCTCATTTATTGTTGGAGATGTCTGAAAGTTAAATTACATGATGTCGCGTAATGCGTTACCGAAGCGATTCTGATCTGATGTGCTAAGTAAGCTCATTTTTCCAAAAACATGAATTATTTCTAGAAAAAAACTTGCAAAATTCGTAACTTTATCGATGCTGTAAAAGCTCCTAGAAAATCTACCGAAAGAATAATTAAAATCCTCGTGAAGAAACAAGTTTTTATGATAAACACTTCTCAAATTTTAATTATAGGTACGGGTTAACTCGTGCAATCGCTCATTTACATGCGTAAGTACTTACTCACCGGTTGTTAACACCTTTTTTCTGTATAATTTGAACATCAGTCAACAGTCGATGTGAATGAATCATGAATCGATAATTAGGTCGTCGATCTTCTGTACCTGTTATTAGTACTCAGAGATGCGAAATTGTTATAAAATAAGTTTTAAAATACAAAACAATAATTGTGCAATGTTAACATCATTTCTATTTGCCGTGCAGAACATAGATCCTCTCTTGCTTCGACAGAATAGGTAGGTCTAGAGCATAGAAAAAGGATCTAAACGCTACAAGTAGATCCTTTACTTTATACACTAGAGTGCAGATTCATTCTCTATGCCTCTGTAGAGCTCAGGTCCTTTCTCTATACTATTATAAATGTATAAAATATAAGAAGCTTATACAGAATTTGGAGAACAGATCCTTCTCTTTATCCTAGTGACGATTTCTACTTATTTTGCTTCTTCAGTTCCTCAGTTTTAATTCCAAATTAAATAAAATAGTAGAAATATTAATATAAATACATAATTAATGTAGATTGTTTAATATATATTTAATTTTAAAAGTTAATCCCTGGGTTATTTACAGAAACAAATACGTTAAATATTTTCGGTATTTGAAACTTAGATTTGTTATTTAAATCATTTATAAAGCAAATAATCAAAATTGATTTTCTTAATTAGTTAATTCAACGTGTATCGCTCTTTTGTATACCTTTAATTCTCATTACGTGCAAAATAATAGGACAAACAACACCAGGTATTTTGTTATACTTGGGTGTATATTTAATCCTGATTTTCCTGATATCACTTGAAGTTAAATACGCCACAGTTTAGGTTTACAGTAAATGGTCTCACTCTTTTAAAGTTATATGAGGCTTTTTATATTATAACTGAGGGTCTCCTGAGTAATATAATTTATTTAGGTTAATTATCTAACATTTTAAATATTATTATGGATTTAATTGGGAATAAAATCATATTAAAGGATTGTATAAAATATGAAAATGTGATGTAAATTTTCATTATTTTATCAATTTTTTTTAATCTGCTAGTTAAATTGTGTGAAAAATTTATTAAGGATTTGGTACAGTTAAGTGTCGGTTAAAAACTGGTACAAAATTTATCAAATCCTTAACTGGAATTAAATCATTTCGATTCTATTTCCTTCTTCAAGTATTGTACCATTAATTTTTCATGATTTAACTTAAATTTTAACAGGAAAAAATTTTTAAAATTGATGTTAAATTAATGAATATGTAATTATCTAGAAAGAAGGAACTATTTTGAATAAATTATGTATTTATGTCGACAAAAAACTTGTTAATTTTCATGCGAAAGTTTTTTTAGTACACTTAGAAATGTTAAGAAGTTATTCACTCGTAAATTAAAAGTACAGTAATATTTAGTAATAAGAATAGCAATATCTATAAACAAAATATTATTATGTTCATTAATAAATTGTAAAATTAATGCAAATTTGTAAAATCTTGCATAAAAGTACATCACCAAAAGCTATTACACGAAACACCAGCACATTAGGGCCGAGCTTTGTCGTCCATTACGTTAAGCTAAGGCCCATTATGGAGTCAATACAACAGGCGGGGATGAGAAACGACGACACGATTCCCATTACCCATAATGAACTATAGCGATAGATGATACGTGACCTTCCATAATCCCACTGTTATAAATGGGCCTGACCTGTAATGAAATAGGCAACACATGTGAGGGATAAAAAATAATGCCTCATTCTCTACTACCCGTTGTAAATTANACCAAAATCTCTCATGCCAAATTCGTAATTTCAACCAAATTTGCTTTTAAACAGGAATATCATTTATGTATAATTCACATTATTCACTGTAGAGATATCCATTAATTACGTACACAGTTTAAGAAAGAGAGGGAGGGTGCGAAAGGTTCATTACTGTACAACAGGCGGGGATGAGAAACGACGACACGATTCCCATTACCCATAATGAACTATAGCGATAGATGATACGTGACCTTCCATAATTCCACTGTTATAAATGGGCCTGACCTGTAATGAAATAGGCAACACATGTGAGGGATAAAAAATAATGCCTCATTCTCTACTACCCGTTGTAAATTATAGTGATCAGGTTCGGATTCGATGCTGTGTGACCCATGATTTTGTCTATTAGGATTGATTAGATTGGATGATCTGCTAAGGGAGATCTTATAAGGTATTTTATGGGAAATTGGCCCCTATTTAGGTGTTAGACGTGTAAAGAAAACCTGAAAACTCTATGAGGCCAGTTCGTTGGCGAGGCGCGAATCCATTGTTCACTAACACTAACCACCCAAGTTTCAGTTTAATGGATTAAAAATAAAAATTTACCAATACTTTATTTTAAAACTTAAGTGTAAAAAAAACAAAATACTTTTAAAACGTTTAAGTGAATTGTTTCAAAAATATCTCGAAGGTCACAAACGATTAACTTAATGCACAGTCGAAGTTACTCCCCCATGATTCCTATGATGGACAGGAATAAAGAACACGAAAAACCAGCATCTCAGGTATGTTAATTAATTAATTAAAAATGTTGTATTTTAAACTTTAAAAATTCTAAATTTTAGTATAAATTTATTTATTTACTCATAAAAATCGGTAAATTTTATTAAAATAAGCGATGATTTTTAGTAAACACGAAAAAAAAATCGAGGAATCAATATTGGGTTAAATTTATAATTTTCTCAATATTAATACAGTCGAACCTCCAATAACGGCAACTTCTATACGACGACCATTTTTCAGGAACGTTTTTAAATGCAATAAAAAATAACCCCCAAACTACGACCATCTCTAAACAACGTCCATTTTTTATGTTCCTATCAATGGCCGTTGTTCAGAAGTTCGACTGTACTTAAAAAAAAGTTCATATTATAAAAATTTAGTAAAATATTTTGATTTTATTGCTTTTAAACGAGTAAAAATAGTCAGGAAAGCTTAAGCAATCGAAATTATTAAGAAGCAATATCTTTAATTGACTTAGCGGCAGGATAAAAAAAATGATCTTAATCTTGATAAAGTACAGTTACTCCTTCTTAGACTACTGTCTGTGTGTTATGATCAATGGAAATAAATATCTCTTCCACTTAATCTTGATCCGACATCTGCTGACATCGAAATTCCGATAAACTATCACGCATTGACATAACTATAGATGTGTTAGGAGGACATCAGGAATGGGCTGGAAAGCGGCTCTAATCTTTAACTATTTTATAATTTTATATAAATTTCGACAATAGCAATGAGTTATTGCGGGCAGGAAGTGGAATGTTTAACTCATTTGTGATTTAGAGGAGATGGAAGCGAGCGCTGAAGTTCTGTGATACCAAATTGATGCAATTTTATGTCTCCATTGGTGGACTTTTCTTCACGGCTTTTCGGTAATTGAAGGCTGTAAAGTTTAAACTTTATAAGGTTTTATCTGTTTTTTTGATAAAAATAGTTTCAATTTTCAAGGATTTTCTCGGTTGGAAGAATGAGTCGTCCTCATTTATTGTTGGAGATGTCTGAAAGTTAAATTACATGATGTCGCGTAATGCGTTACCGAAGCGATTCTGATCTGATGTGCTAAGTAAGCTCATTTTTCCAAAAACATGAATTATTTCTAGAAAAAAACTTGCAAAATTCGTAACTTTATCGATGCTGTAAAAGCTCCTAGAAAATCTACCGAAAGAATAATTAAAATCCTCGNTTTTTTTTAAGTTAATTCTCTTGCTCTTCTCGAGTATGTTTGCAATGGAATTTTCAAGATTAATTCACAAATAATTTAGGAGAAAAATCTTTTTCAAATCTTTCTCATTCCTTTATTGATTGAAAAATGAAGTATGCGAAGTACGAAAACAATTTCGATATTGCTAACAGGCAGACAGGCAGCCCGAAACCAAATAACTATTTAGATGAATTTTCATCGTCTTGAATTTACTTAAAATGACGTTAAATCTAAGAAAATTTTTAAATTCAATTCAAGTTTTTACAGTAAAATGCTTGCTTTTATATAATTATCTAATTAAATTTTGTTAGAAAATTAATAAAGAATAGTTTTAAAAGATAAATATAATTAGGTTTTTTTAATTGTTGTAATCATTTATACAGTTGACCCCCCCATAACACTGTTGATAATTCCGTTTTATATGAATTCCATGTTGTACGAGTCACTTAGATTTTACAAATACGTGTGCCGGGCTGTGAACGGCTCACGTATATGTAAAATTCAAGTAACTCGTACAACGTGGAATTCATATAAAACGGAATAATCAACAGTGTTATAAGGGGGGTTGACTGTATTTGATTTAAATGGATTTATTCTTTTTAGATAATTTGAGTTCTTTGAAAAGAAATTTTTGCAGAATTTCTTGAAAATTTGACTTTTTTAAAAATTACTGAAAATTACTTTCAGTGAATATTCTAAAAACAAACTTTTATTAAATTAAATAAATTAATTGCAATTTCATATGTAACATTATCTTTCCTTGTTTCGTAACTCTTTGACATTTTAACAGACCAAAAGCACATATTATCGATTGATTTTGAAGGAATTAGAGTATCAAATTTAATTTATTAATTGCGAAATATTCATTTTCTAATCATATTACCTTACATTCAGTCACGTAAACAAACAGTATCGAATATTTAGATGAAAATTAATGAGATTTAACTGAAAATCTGTGCATTGTAAATATATTTTTTTGCATTAAAAATTTAATTTTTTTTTAAATTGATGGAAGGAGAATTCTGCTTACATCTTGAAAAGAATCTTCAGCTCTTTAGAATGGTCCACGTCTACCAGTGGCAGAATGGATAAAACCGTTGAACACTGGTCGTGGGTTCGGCCCTCACCACGTGAAGTTTTCCTGCTTTTCTTCACGTGGCTAACACCTAAATTGGGACTAGTACACCATAGAAAGTCTTCCCTACATGAGTCCTCGTCTGCAGATCGCCCTCATGTCGCGGTTTCGCGCCTCACTAACAGGCAGGCCACATGGAATTTTTCGGGTTTCCGGGAATTCTTTACCTGCCAACACTTAAATAGGGACCAGTTATCCCACATAGAAAGTCCTTCTTGGAAGATCGCCCGGCAGATCGTCGAAACGTTGCGTTTCCTTCTATCTATCCTATTTTCTAGAAAGGTAATCTTGACCCGAGCTTAAAGAAATAGACGGCTCGCTTTACGACGATTTTGCAGGAACCACTCCAATAATCTTTTGTGAACATTTTCGCATGGCCCGGGACATCGTTCTTCATTCCTCATTCTTGCAGGTCGAATCCATTGTATGTCAGGTTCATTCTTAATGGGCAAAATATGGCTGCTGAAATCTGTAGAGTATTTACACTATCAATCAATTTACATTAAAAAAAAAAACTTTAGGGCCTTCTATGAACGAGATCCAAGTCAATTGGCTCACGAAGGGATATTCTACTGCATTAAAACCCAAGTTGGAGGAGCAATGTGTCTCGTATATTATGATTCCTCATAACCGGTGTTTAGTGCAATGCAACATACAGGTACTTCAGACTTACTTCATTAACATTCTCGACTTTCCAAGTTACCGTTGATAAGCGGTGATCCTGAAATGCTGTTGGAAAACAGAACATTATTGAAATAAGTCTTGAATCATCTCTTTGTTGCGTTTGAAGAACCACGATTCTGAATTTTGAAACCCTTCTGTCAGCATCAAGCGAATCGATGGCACTTGAAGATCCCTACATTTCGAATATGATTGTTGCAACGTACCATTTTATTTCTTGTTCAGCATCACTCATGAGTAATTAATGTAAATACAGTCGACCCCCTATAACACTGTTGATAATTCCGTTTTATATGAATTCCATGTTGTACGAGTCACTTATATTTTACAAATACGTGAGCCGTTCTCAGGCCAAGCTAAGGCCCATTATGGAGTCAATACAACAGGCGGGGATGAGAAACGACGACACGATTCCCATTACCCATAATGAACTATAGCGATAGATGATTNTCTGTAGAAGATTTACACTATCAATCAATTTACATTAAAAAAAAACTTTAGGGCCTTCTATGAACGAGATCCAAGTCAATTGGCTCTGTTGGCCCATCAACATGATATCTTTTCCTACTGGGGATTTAAACAGGAAAAATTCATTTTCTGTAATATTTTTCCAAAAAACTAATCGAATTATATTTAAATTATTTATAATTTAAATATAATTCATCGTAAAACTTATTATTAAAATGAACGTTTATTCAACGTAGTGGCTCAGATTACGAAGTTAAGGCCTTAGTCTGGAGGACTTAAGATTGATTCCTGGCATTCAACTGTAGGAATTTTACGTGGCAATTTGAACGGATATGTCGGGCCCCGTCCTTCATCACGCAGTCGTCCCCACCGATCTCATTATTGGCCTCAATAAAAGGCCTCTTAATGCCAACAGGGTAGAAAGAGACAAAAATGGACTACCTACAACCTACTCTTTGACCAAAATCTCTCATGCCAAATTCGTAATTTCAACCAAATTTGCTTTTAAACAGGAATATCATTTATGTATAATTCACATTATTCACTGTAGAGATATCCATTAATTACGTACACAGTTTAAGAAAGAGAGGGAGGGTGCGAAAGGTTCATTACTGTACAGGATGGAAAAAGGGAGTCTATATGGCTTTTTTTTAGTGGTATTAGTGGCATACGAATTTGTTCTTATAATCCTACTTAATAGCATGGGAATAAACTTAGAAAATATGTACAGAACTTTTTAAAGTCATTTCTTCAATGTCAGTGGGGTTCATGTACTGTATAGTAATTGTAACTAAAGAGTCTACACATTGAGCTTAAGCAATACAGATCTTAAACAATCACCAGTTTGCCAAGGCCTAAATCCTATTCTATATGTGTGTTGCCTAAATCCTATTCTATATGTGTGTTGCCTATATATAAATGTAATTAAAGGGAAGGGTTTTCCAAAAGTGCATCGTTGTACACAACAAGGAGGGAATGAGTCAAATTGGCTCAAAAACTGTGCACGTAATTAATGGTCGGCTCATGCATATCAAATCTCATTTATTTGAACGTGAATTTACAAATCCACTTTTGGGCCCCGCTCAGATCTAGACCCTAAACAGTTGCCTAGATTGCCATGGTCTAACACTATTCTATTGATATTTATAGCCTATATACACACTATATACCATATGTATAGCTAATTTTCTATTTTTTTTCAGTTAGTAATTAAGCGAAGACATTTAACACACAAATAATTTATATATGTCTTGTGTTACTGTAGCAACTCCATGACAGTCTGTCATAATGTAATTAAATATCACTTAATTACATCACGACAACTTTGGATATTACTATCCCTTTATTTCTGAGAAATTAATAATTCAGTAATAGAATAATCGAATGCTTGGATATAGAAACAAATGTTTAATTAATGAAATATTTTATTATTATTTTTAAATGTAAAATATACAGAATTTTAACGTTTTTATGCCTTTTACAATTAAAAAAAAAACAAAATCAATTTATTAAAT